ATTGGCTTGTAATTTTCCTTCTTTATGTTGTCCATGTCTGGTTTCAGTTTCACAATAATGATGGCCTTGTAAAATGAGTTAAGAAGAGTCCCGTCTTCTTCAATTTCTCTGAAGAGTTTGAGAAGGGTAGGAATTAAATCTTTGAATGTCTGGTAGAATTCACCAGAAAAGCCATGTGGTCCTGGACTTTTGTTTTGGGGAGGTTTTTTTCTTTCTTTTTTTTTTTTTTACTGTTTCAATCTCTTTTCTTGTGATTGGTCTATTCAGATTCTCTATTTCTTTTTTAATCAGTTTTGGGAGGCTGTATGATTCTAAGAATTTATCTATTTCTTCTAGGTTATCAAGTTTGTTGGCATAAAGCTTTTTTTAGTATTCTCTTAATCCTTTGTGTTTCTGTGGTGTCTGTTGTAATTTCTCCTCTTTCATTTCTGATTTCATTTATTTCAATCTTCTCTCTCTTTTTTTGTAGTGAGTCTGGCTAAGAATTTGTCAATTTTGTTTAATTTCTCAAAGAACCAGCTCTTAATTTCATTGATCCTTTCTTTTGATTTCTTAGTCTCAATTTCATTAATTTCTGCTCTAATTTTTATTATTTCTTTCCTTCTACTGACTTTTGGCTTTGTTTGCTCTTTTTCCAGTTCTTTTAGCAACAGTGGAGGCTTGTTTATATGAAATTTCTCTTGTTTATTGAAGTAGGCCTGTATTACTATAAATTTCCCTCTTAGTACCACTTTTGCTACATCCCATAAGATTTGGTATGTTGTGTTTTATTTTCATTTGTCTCCAGGTATTTTTTGATTTCTCCTTTCATTTCTTCTTTGATCCAATAGTTGTTCAGTAGCATGTATTTTAGTCTCCACATATTTGTGACTTTCCCAGCTTTTTTCTTATAGTTGATTTCTAGTTTCATAGCATTGCAGTTGGAAAAGATGCCTGATGTGATTTCAATCTTCTTAAATTTATTGAGGCTTGCCTTGTTTGCCCATAAGTGGTCTATCTTTGACAATGTTCCATGTGCACTTGAGAAGAATATGCGTTCTGCTGTTTTTAGATGGAGTGTTCTTTATATATCTATTAAGTCCATCTGGTCTAGTGCTTTATTTAAGGACACTGTTTCCTTGTTGACTTTCTGTCTGTATGCTCTATCCATTGATGTAAGTGGGGTATTAAAGTCCTCTACTACTATTGTGTTGCTGTCAATTTCTCCCTTTAGGTCTGTTAATAATTGTTTTATATATTTTGGTGCTCCTACATTAGGTACATATATATTAATAAGTGTTATGTCTTCTTGGTGGAATGTCCCTTTTATCATTATATGATATCCATTTTTGTCTCTGTTATTTTTTTTTCTTGAAGCCTGGTTTGTCTCATATAAGTATGGCTACATATGTTTTCTTTTGGTTGCTATTTCCTTGGAGTACCATCTTTCATCCCTTCACTGTGAGCCTATGTTTGTCTTTAGAGCTGAGATGGGTGTCCTGGAGGTGGCATATTGTTGAGTCCATTGAACCACTCTGCGTCTTTTGATGAGAGAATTCAATCCATTTATGTTTAGAGTGGTTATTTACATATGAGAGCTTAATACTGCCACTTGATCTTTTGTTTTCTGGTCATTCTATATTTCCATTGTTTCTTTTTCTCTGTATTTCTGTCTGCCGTTTGAGTTTTGTGGTTTTCTGTGATGTTTCTCATTTTTCTCTTTATTTATGATTTGTGACTCTGTTCTGAGTTTTTGTTTGTGTTTACCATGAGGTTTGTATAAAAGATATCATTGCTGAGATAGTCCCTTTTCAAATAGGCTCTTATCTTCATTACCTTATGAAGGGTCTGTCCCTTTCTTCTTCACCTTCCACGATTTTGTTGTCGCAAATTATTCTCTTTTTTGTTGTGAGTTTGTGACCAAACTAAAGTGTTTATGGTTATTTTTCTTGCTTTCTTTTCCTTTATACTTTATGCTATAATTCAGTATTTACTAACCTATTCTGATATAGAGCTGCAACTTTCTGATTCTATCTATTTATTACCTTGCTCAAAGCATTGTAAACCTTTGGCTTTTTGTTTCATGTAGGAGAACTCCTTTCAAAATTTCTTGTAAGGCAGGTCTAGTCTCAATGAACTCCCTCAGCTTTTGTTTGTCTGGGAAAGCTTTTATTTCTCTGTCATATCTGAAGGATAATTTCACTGTATAGAGTATTCTTGGCTGATAGCTCTTGTCTTTCAATATTTTGAATGTGTCATTCCACTCTCTGCTAGCCTGCAGAATTTCTACTGAGAAATTCACTGAAAGCCTGAAGGGGGTTCCTTCGTATGCTATTTTCTTCTGTCTTGCTGCTCTTCATATTTTTTCTTTGTCATTAACATTTGACAGTTTTAATATTATATGCCTTGGGAAAGGTCTTTTTGCATTGATGTTATTAGGAGTTCTGTTAGCTTCATGTGCTTCATTGCCCAGCTCTTTCCCCAGGTTTGGGAAGTTCTCATCACTATTTCTTTGAATAAGTTCTCTGCTCCTTGCTTGCTCTCTTCTCCTTCTGTGATACCCATAATCCTTATGTTACTTTTCATAATTGAGTCAGATATTTCTCAAAGAATTTCTTCATTTTTTAAAAATCTTAGTTCTCTGTCCTCCTCCACTTGAATCATTTCTAGGTTTCTATCTTTGAGCTCACTAATTCTCTCCTCCATATGGTATGCTCTATTTTTAATGCTTTCCACATTATTTTTCATCTCATTAATTGAGTTCTCCCTCTCCAGAATTTCTGTGTTTTTTTTTTCAGAGTTTTAATCTCTTTGATGAACTACTCCTTCTGTTCATTTATTATTCTTGAGGTCATTGAACTGTATTTCTGAGTTTTCTTGTAACTTGTTGAATATCTTTATGACAACTCTTTTGAATTCTGTGTCAGTTAGACTGAAATCTTCTGTGACTTCAAGTTTAGTTTCTGGAGAGTTGTCATTCTCCTTCTGTTCTGCCATCTTACTCTAGTTCTTCATGGTGTTTGATGAATTGATTTTCTGCCATTGCATTTGTGGTAGTAACCACCTTTCTTATTTGGGTATGGCTTTATTTACTTTGGTGCTGAGCTGCTTCAGATTTTATTTGGGAGCCTGCATTTTCCACCCTCCACTGCCTCTTCCAGAGGCATTTTCAGTGCCCTCCTTGTGATGCTTGTACCTCTGGGGCTGCTGGTGCCTTGCTGCTTTTGATTTCACTACAATCTCAAGAGTTGTCACCAGGTTCACCAGGCTGTGAGCACTTCTGCTGTTTCCGGGGTCACCTGGGTCTCATGTTCCTCCACTGGCTCTCCATGGGCTCAGATGCTTCTGCCTCATGCACCACCTGTGCTGTTGCTCCCAAGTTGTCTGGGGATGCTGGTTGCATCACTGTTAGGGGCACTGGGTTCACAAGTGTCGCTTTTGTTACTGGGGACCTGGTGACTGGGGACTTATATGCAGCCCTCGATGCTGTTGAAGCTGGTGTTAGGGATGCTGACACCGGGGACTGGGTCACCAGTTCTGCTGTGGTTCCTGCTGCTTCTGGTTGCAGATTCCATCTGCCAACACTGGGAGTGGGGTGGCAGTGGCTGTTTATTCTGATCCTGCTTTGTCTGCTCACAGTCACATGGGCCGGGGCAACCACCATCATCTCTGCTCCACTGGCAGCCATGCTGGCCAGGCTGCTCACCACCTCCTCTCACAGTCACATGAGCTGCTGTGTGAGGATCCACATCCTTGATCACTGCCTCCATGAGAGGGGGAAGGGGCTGCTCCTCTACTTCTACTGCCTCCTGGGGTTCCAGTCCACCCACCTTCAGATGTATATATGCATGGATCTCTTAGGCATCCTATTGTAATTTGTAGGGAATCCTCTGTTGGTCAATGAATGTCCATTTGGTTGTAACTTAGAGGGGAGAGATGAACGGAACAGCTCACTCTGCCATGATGCTGATGTCACTCTTAGTTTATTCTTTTATTATATTATAATTGACATACAATACCATATTAGTTTCAGGTGTACAACATAGTGACTCGATATTCTTATACATTATGAAATGTTCACCATGATAAGTCTAGCCACCATCTGTCACCACACTGAGTTATTACAATATTATTAACTATATTCCCCATGCCATACACCATATCCCCATGACCCATTTCTTTTATAACTGGAAGTTTTTACTTCTTAACCTCCTTCACCTATTTCACCTGTCCTCCCAACCCCATCCCCTATGGCAAGCACCAGTTTGTTCTCTGTATCTAGGAACCTGTTTCTGTTTTTTTTTATTTATTTGTTTTGCTTTTTAGATTCCACATATAAGTAAAATATTATGGTATTTGTCTTTCCATAATGGCCAAAATTTAGAAAGATTGACCATACCAAATGTGGTGGGTAATGAGTTTTCTCTTACACACTACTGTTGGACATGTAAAATGGTACAAACACACTGGAAAACAGATTGGCGGTTTCTTAAACACCTGCATACAACCCAGCCATTCCACTCCTATTTATTCATCCAAGAGAAGTCAAATCATCTGTCCATACAAATACTTGTACATGAATGTTCAGAGCAGCTCTATTTGTAATAACCCCGAACTGGAAATATCTCAAATGTCCAACAACAGATGGAAATGTTGACACAAATAATCAATAACCATTCTATAGAGAAGAAAGATATAGAGATATTTATTGAGATGAGGACTAGCCCGGAAGTACCATCTCCACCAGGGAAGAAAGCTCTCTGAAGAAATGTGGCTTACAGCATGGTTGTATTCCATTTCAAAACAAAGAACATACACCAAGCATGACAGGAATCCAACTTTTCCTCCAAAGTCACAGGGAGATGTTTTGCTGAAGTTTAGCACATACACAGCAGGTCAACTTGAACTTGGTTCTCTGGGAAGAAAAGCTAATCTTCAAAGAAGTACTGATATTGGCATCAGAAAGGGAGACATTCATCCATGTCTACAAAGAGTGCATTCATTACTTTGGGAAAATGTTTGAAGCAGATGTACAATGCATGTTTGGTGGGCCATAAGTCAGGCTGCTCTGGGAAAAACAAGTTTTAGGCTGAATCAGATTTAAACCAGAATGGCTTCCCCATATACTTCAATATGTGAAAACATTATTCTTATTATTTTCATCATTTTCCCCTTTTGATCAACAATCTTTTTTTTTAAATTTTTTGTTTATTGCAGTAACATTGGTTTATAACATTGTAAAAATTTCAGGTGTACATCATTGTACTTCTATTTCTGCATAGATTACATCATGTTCACCACCAAAATACTAATTACAACCCATCACCACACACATGTACCGAATTATCCCTTTCACCCTCCTCCCTCCCCCCTTCCCCTCTGGTAACCACCAATCCAATCTCTGTCCCTATGTGTTTGTTTATTGCTGCTGGTGGGAATGCAAACTGGTGCAGCCACTATGGAAAACAGTATGGAGATTTCTCAAAAAATCAAGGATAGAACTACCATATGATCCAGCTATTCCACTGTTGGGTATTTATCCAAAGAACTTGAAAACACCAATTTGCAAAGGTACATGCAGCCCTGTGTTCATTGCAGCGTTATGCACAATAACCAAGACTTGGAAGCAACTTAAGTGCCCATCAAGGGACGAATGGATAAAGAAGCTGTGGTATATATACACAATGGAATAGTACTCAGCCATAAGAAACGATGAAATCCAGCCATTTGTGACAACATGGATGGACATTGAGGGTATAATGCAAAGTGAAATAAGTCAGAGGGAGAAGGTCAAATACCGTATGATTTCCTTCATTACGTAGTAGATCAACAATCTTTTGATGGAAAGCATTGATGTTCAAGTTATTGTCCCTCAGTGCCAGGGTGGTTGCTGCCTACCCTGGGTCCATTATGTTCCTCTGAGCTGGGCTTTTATTGTACATGCACTTTAACACGATTTTGTAATCATCACTTGTAAGAGTTGAGAACTATAGAGAAGATACAGTAGAAATAATAATAAAGTGTTTATTTCAGAAGAATAAATCTTAAGCTCCGATGTATTTTAGTCTAGATGTGTAGAAAGAAAATATTAGAGTTATAGGAAGAATAATTAAAAGGTACCAAAAAGGCAATCTAAAACACAAGGAAGGTAACAAGTGTCATGTAAAAGTATTAAAATTGCTAATGTACTCAATAATGTGATTATTATAGCAATTATAAATGAGCACGTGTCTTAAACATTGCAAGGGTTTAAATGAGATTGGGAATATAGGCCTCGTCTGGGATCTTGGGGCAGCTGTATACAACAGACGTCAGCTTCTTCTTATCCTAGTTGGGTAGTACCTGTCTTAGTCAGTTGAAACCAGGTTTCAGTAACAGGAGTTGAAGTCCACATAGGAGGAGGGAAATTTTTTAAAGGAGAAATGTGAATCCATGAGTTTATGCCATTTAATTTTGCAGTGGGGCTGGCCCTGTGGCTTAGCAGTTAAGTGTACGCGCTCTGCTGCTGGCGGCCTGGGTTCGGATCCCAGGCACGCACCGAGGCACTGCTTCTCCGGCCATGCTGAGGCCACATCCCACATACAGCAACTAGAAGGATGTGCAGCTATGACATACAACTATCTACTGGGGCTTTGGGGAAGAAAAGGAGGAGGATTGGCAATAGATGTTAGCTCAGAGCCAGTCTTCCTCAGCAAAAAGAGGGGGATTGGCATGGATGTTAGCTCAGGGCTGATGTTCCTCACACAAAAAAATAAATAAGTAAATAATTTTGCAGTGAATGGATTGGTTAAGAGTACCTTGTATGGTCCTCTCCAATGAGACTGGAGACCCTTTAATTTGGTGTCTCTTACAAGAAACCAAATCTCCAAGTTGCAGTCCATGACCTCTAAGGTCTTCATTTCCCTGGCACTCACTGTGAAAGGAATCTGCTACCAATTTTTCATTTCTTTTTAGTGTCTTAATAAGGCCTTGACAATAGTGCAAGATATCCCCTTTGAGCAAAGTTGGTTCATACATTTTCATTTAATTGCATGGATCGTCCTGTTATTATTTCAAAAGGAGACAGATGATGTTTACCAAAGAATGTAGATCTAATATTGAGGAGCACTAGTGGAAGAACTTTTGGCCATGAGAGATTAAATGCTTCTGAAAGTTTTTCCAATTGAGTTTTAATTGTGTCATTAGTTCTTTCTACCAATCCTGAGTATTGGGGATGATAAGTGCAGTGAAAGTGCTGTACTATTGGCCAAAGGTCACAAAAAATTTAATTATTTGTCCAGTGAAATGAGTTCCCTGATCACTGTGTGACTCTATAGGAATTCCCCAAACAGGAATCATTCTTTCTAGTAATAATTTACCTATTGTTAAAGCTGTTGATCTTCTGCAAGGGAAAGCCTCAACTCAGTGTGAAAACATACAAATCATTACCAAGATATATTTATCCTTGAGATGGTGACATTTGAATAAAGTCCAATTACCACACGTCAAAGGTCCCTTAGGAAGGGAAAAGTGGCCTTGTGACCCATGAGGTAGTTTCTTAGGATTATATTTAGGACATATGATACAACAAACATGGGCTTTATAAGCCACTATGAGAGAAAGTTTCCAAAAATATTTTTTCCCCATAAAATCATCTTTTCAGGTGCCCAATGGGTTAACTGTTGTATATGCTGGAGCAGTGGCAATTGTGCTCCAGTAGACACTATGGGTTTTTATTGGTCCCAAACTACATTTATGTGGTAGGATAAAAATTCCCCCTTTTTGCTGTCATGTCTGTTTCTCTTCATCTGTGGTGATTTCTTGAGCCTGTAGAGGGAAATCTTTCATTGGGTTAGCAGGGTTAACAGAGAGCAGTGGGCATTCTCAAGGCTGGACAAGATAAGTTTTTAAAACTGTGTGTTTATCAACAGCATCAGCAAGTTTATTTCCTTTAGCTTCCAAAGTGTCAGATTTGGAATGCTATGGTATTTTAATAATTGCCAATTATTTTGGTAGTGGTATAGCACTTGATAATTCTGCAACCTGTTTTCCCTTTTTATAGGTTGTCCTGAAGAGGTTAAAACCCCCAGATGTTTCCATAGCGTTCCAAAGTCATGTGCCATTCAAAAAGCATAATGGCTATCAGTATAAATATATGGCACCTGATCATTAGCCAATTGACAAGCTTGAGTTAAAGCAATTAATTTATCTTGCTGTGCTAACTTTATTTCTGGTAAATAAGAGCTCTCAATTGTGTCCATTGAGATGTTATTGCATACCTACCCTGGTAATATCCTTGCTTATCCTTTAAGAAAGACCCATCTGGGGCCAGCTCTAGGGCTTAACAGTTAAGTGCATGCACTCCACTACTGGCTGCCCAGGTTTGGATCCCGGGCATGCACTGATGCACCACTTCTTCGGCCATGCTGAGGCCACGTCCCACATACAACAACTAGAAGGATGTGCAACTATTACATACAACTATCTACTGGGGCTTTGGGGAAAAAATGGGGGAGGATTGGCAATAGATGTTAGCTCAGGGCTTATCTTCCTCATATAAAAAAAAGAAAGATGCACCTCTAAACTAAATTAGATCAGCATTATCAATAAGAGTTTCTTGTTGATAATTCTTAGGAGTAAGAAGGTAATCTAATAATAAAATACAGTCATGGCCATTTTCCTCCTGTGGTGCTGGAAGCAAAGTTGCAGGGTTAAGATTATTTCATCGGGCTAAGGTAATATTAGGTATAGAAAGCAACGAAACTTCATAAGAGGCTAATTGGCTTACAGAGTAATGCTGAGTGTGATGAAAATTTAGAAGAGATTCAACAGAGCGTAGGACATAAATAGTTAAAGGAGAGTCCATTACCATTTCTTCAGTAGCTTTACACAAGGGAACTCTTGCTGAAATAGCCCTCATGCATGGTGGAAGACTTTTTGCTACTGAGTCTAGTTGCTGACTATAATATCTTATTGGTTGATATTGATCACCATGTTCTTGAATTAATACACATAAAGCAGGTGCTTTATCTTTGTGTACAAAGAGAAAAACGGCAAGTTGAAATTAGGATGATCTATAGCTAGGGCCCCAGCCAAGATGGATTTTTAAGGTTTTTATGGCTTTTTTTCCTCTGGTGTCCATTCAGTCAAATCAGAATGTTCAGACTTAAGCAATATATATAAAGGTTGAGGAATGAGTGAAAAGTTAGACACCCAAATTCTGTAGGATCCAGTAAGTCCTAGAAATCCCCTCAATTGTTCTTTTGTTAGCAGTTTTATGAAGCCATGAGTTTCTCTGCTAGAGTTATATAATTTCTTACCCAGTTGTTTTAGGATATTAATGTTCATCAGAAACCTGTATTCTGGAGTAAATGTCAGAGTCTTTGCCATGAATCTCTCTGAAGATGAAACATATCTGTAAAAATATCAGACTAAAGCAGTAACCGTCTGTAAATGATGAAAGACTTAGTATTACAATGAAATTGACAAGATAATTTGGTTATGACATTTTAAGATAATGTCTAGAATTATACCAGGACATATAAGATATTTAAGGATTTAATATGCGTTCTAAAAAGTTATATAAAACATTAAGCCATATAATATAACCTAAGAAGGTTTATCATCATTTGACAATGCTTCCCATGCACTTTAATATACAAAATAAACTTAATTAGTTTAGTATCTCCCTCTTTGTAAGAGAAGAGAACAAATTCTTTGAAAAGTCAAAGGTTCCCAGTAGAAATTCTCAAACTTACTTTCAGGTCAAAAGAAATACTTTATTTAGGATTTGAATTTTGGGGAATTTTGTCAAAAATATCAAAAGGTTTCAAAACATTTGGTCAAATAAAATCACAGGTCACTGTGAAACAATGCTTAGTTATCCATTTAACCAAAGTGACAACAGATGTTAAAGGCAGTCATAAAGAGTTAAAAAGTTAAAAACCTTAGTTCTCTTAATAGAGACACCTCAGTTTTTTTGAACATAGGAAATTACTTTGGCAAGACATAGAATCCTTGCCTTTTAGGTAGACTTATTCAAAGGTGAGGAAAAGCATTTCATAATCTAGTAAGAGAAGACTAAAAGTCCAAGAAAATTATCCTTTTAAGAGAAAGAAAAACAAATTCTAATTTTTATACCAGCTGACTTTTGATACTAAAACTTATTCAATTAATTAACTTCAATTTAGTCTTAGCCAACTTGATCATGCACAGAGTTACTTTTTAAAGATTCCTTTTTCACAAGTCTTCTACAACTTTCTATGTCTATTTAGGTTTTGTCTTTTCTTTATTATTTTGGTGCAATCTTTTTATTTTAGGTCAAAATTACTTTCTTGTTTTCCTTTAACAAAAATCCATCTTCATTCTTCATATCTTCTTTCACTGAAAACACATAGCCTACTTTTCTTGCTTACTTTTCATTTACAGTCATTCTCTCAATTTCAAAAACTTATAAAGTTTATCTAGAAAAGAAATGAAGCAAAGCAGTTGTTACAGAATAATTACAGATTTTACTCTTAGAGGATAGCATAATTGCCTATTCATTATATTATGTGAATATAAACTCTTTCTATATAATACAGTTAAAATAAACCATATGTGGGGTTTTTTTTTTTCTTGGAAATTACATTACGAGATTCACTTGTGTCTATACATTTATCCTGACCTTGCTCTGTTAAACTGGGAATGATAAAACTGGAAGGGGCAATAAGATCCCCACATTATTGCTGAAGAGGGTTGCTCTAAGTTGAGAGACAGAACAAACATTTGAAAGATGGGACAACAACTTCTAAACTGATGGCAGAGCTATAAATATCCAGGAAGCCACCACCAGAATTCTTAGCCTTGCAATCAGTTATAAGAAATAGGGGAAGTTCTTTTAAATAAAAAATGCTGCCTGGCTCTCTCTCTGAAAAAAAAAAATGAAAAGCCCAAACTAGATAAACTTATGTTTAACAATCAATGTCTCAGTATACCATGCTATCTGGAAAGGATTTAGATGTTCAATGAATATCTATTACTTATTTTAACTTAGTATAAACTTTTATCTTATTTACATTTATTTAAACATTGGTTTTCAACAATTATGTTTGGATAGGTATTAAATAGTTATTTATCATACTAAGTCATTCCCTCTGCAGACAAATCCCACAACAGAAACAGAAGGAGCCTACCTGACCAGTAAACCCAGGTAGAAAAAGTTGTATGTTTGCATTACATTCAGTATTGATAACTCTGAAGACATGCCTGATCTCAGACAATGTGAACTTGAAAGACATTTGGGTTAGTTTCTATATTTCTGAGAATTTTAGGAATACTTAATATATATAAATGTTTAATTTTGGCAATACCATCCAAAGGTAGAAAAATCACATATAGAGACATACATACATAGACATACAGATAGACACAGAGATCTTAAAAAATTTTTAGCCCTGTTTTAGGTACAAAACTCAAAAGAATAATTGGATACAAATTGTGTTTCTGGCAGAAGGACTAAGTTAAGGTTACGTGCTCAGATGGCTAAAGATTTTTATTAAACATTTTTCTTTTTTGCAGTAAGGATCCTTTTTAGAGCTATTTTTTGTCATTTTGTCTTTTACAAGCTTCTGCATATCAATCAAAGAATGCATTCCATTGTGTATATATACCACATCTTCTTTATCCATTCGTCCCTTGATGGGCACTTAGGTTGCTTCCAAGTCTTGGCTATTGTGAATAGCACTGCAATGAACACAGGGGTGCATGTATCTTTACGCATTGGTGTTTTCAAGTTCTTTGGATAAATACCCAGCAGTGGAATAGCTGGATCATATGGTAGTTCTATCCTTATAACAATGGAATACTACTCAGCCATAAGAAATGATGAACTCCAGCCATTTGTGACAACATGGATGAACATTGAGGGTATTATGCAAAGTGAAATAAGTTAGAGGGAGAAGGTCAAATACCATATGATATCGCTCATTAAATAGTAGATAATAACAACAACAAACAAACACATAGAGACAGATTTGATTGGTTGTTACCAGAGGGGAAGGGGGAGGGAGGAGGGCGAAAGGGATAATTTGGCACAAGTGTGTGGTGATGGGTTGTAGTTAGTATTTGGGTGGTGAACATGATGTAGTCTATGCATAAATAGAAGTATAATGATGTACACCTGAAATTTATACAATGTTATAAACCAATGTTACTGCAATAAACAAAAAATAAAAAATAAAAGAATAACTAGGGAAAAAAAAGAATGCATTCCACTGTTTCTGAGAGGTTTTGAATCATCTTTTTTTAAGAGTGGCCCTTAAAATGTACTTATATGAAACAAAGGTACCTCACAATGGCCAATATAATTCCAAATTTTTGCCAATTTCTACTTGCTGAGTTTTAGATCAGGGATTTCAGGGGATTTGAGGTAGGAGAGCTCAGTGAGAGTGGGGTAGAAGGAGAGTGGAGATTGGGGAGTGGAAGGAGAATGACAAAAGGCTTGAGTGGCAGGCAGAGGAGACGATTTGGTCTCATTTTCACTAGCATGGTCTCTGGCAAAGTTGTCATTCTCTAGTTTGGTGTGTCTCTCTTTTAATTTGTAATTATTTTGTTTTACAGCAGCAATAAGGGATTCCTGATTTCACTTAGAAGCCTCAAAATATCAATTAAAATAGGCTTCCCATTGGTTGTTTAATTTTATAGCTGGCTTTTTCCAATTGTGCAAGCAAGTAAATTAATTCCCCTTTTTGGCCACTTAAGACTCAAGTTATCTTTTGTCAAACCTCCCATTTTGTTAAGTACTTGCAAGTAAGAGCTCCATATGTATTGTACATGAAGCCAGCTGGAGTTCCATTGGGTGGCTCTATGTTTGGGAGCTGGTTGGCTTGTTTTATTATAAAGTCTGAACAATTTCTAAGGACAGTGTAGTGGGTCAGAAGTGCACTGCTTGTGAGTGCCACTTCCTATAAGGCAGTGAACACTCTCTTATGTGTTTCAGTTTCTCCCACCACTTACCTAAACTACTGTGGGGTCTTTAAGCACTGGATGACCAGTCCTTATGTGCATGTCCCCAGATGAGCCTTCAATTATTTAAAGTGAATGATCATGATGGAATTCCCTATGGGACTGCTGCACATCACAAGGGTCAACTTCAGACACTTCCACTAGGTTCTCAGTTGCCTGAGAATACCTTACAGCTGGAAGGACCTGCTGTCCCGTCTCTTCAGAGCTTTAGGAGCTCAGTCTCTCATTATCAAACAGTTTGTTCAGACTTTATAAGCACAATTGCTTTCCAATTAAAGCTAAATTAAAAGGACAGCCAAAACCCAGTTCACTGCAAAGTTGCCCCTAGTCTCCTTTGCCTTGGAAATTTCCCCCTAGTTTCCTCTTACCTAGGATATGTACCAGTATTCCCTTAAGACAACTTGTCTTAAGACCTGAAACAGCTAACATAAATATCAGGATTGCCAACTTAAGCAAGGAGGAGAGCTCACCAGGGCACCTGAATGCAGTGAAGCTGGAGGGGCTCAATGGGTCTGTGCTGTTACCAAGCACCAGTTCAAAGCAAATTCCAGGTGGTCTCAGGTAAGCATCTCTGAAATCCTGCTGACTATGCCAAGAAATGTTGATGCAAATAATCAATAACCATATAGACAAGAAAGATATGTGATATTTATTGAGCTGAGGACTAGCCTGAAAGCACCAACTTCACCAGGGAAGAAAGAACTCCAGAGAAACGTGGTTTACAGCATGGTTATATACCATTTCAGAAGAAAGAACATACATTAAGCATGATAGGAATACAATTTTTTCCCCACAGTCATAGGGAGATGCTTTGCTGCAGTTTGGCATATACATAGCAAGTCAGCTTGACCTTGGTTCTCTGGGAAGAAAAGCTAATCTTCAAAGAAGTACCAGTTTTGGCATCAGAAAGGGAGAAATTCATCCATATCTTTAAAGACAGCATTCTTTGCTTTGGGAAAATGTTTGAAGCCCATGTACAATACATGTTTGGTGGGCTATAAATCAAGCTGCTCTGGGAAAAAGAAGTTTTAGGCTGAATCAGATTTAAACCAGAATGGCTTCCCTGTACACCTCAATATGTGAAAGCTTATTATTATTCTTATTATTTTCATCAAAAAAATAAACTTTGTAGTATATATATCATGAACTACTACTCAGGAACAAAGAGCATAAATTATTGATATATGCAACAACACGGATGAACCACAAGAGAATTATGCTGGGTGAAGGTGGCGAGACAAAAAATAGTGCCTACTGTATGATAATGTACATATCTTTATCGTGTTGATGGTTTTACGGGTATATATATATATCAAAAGTCATCAAATTGCACAATTTAAATGTGTTCAGTTTACTGTTTGTCAACCATATCTCAATAAATCTGTAAAAAAATTCTTCTAAATTTCATTTACCCCCATGGGTAAGCACCAGTTTACATCTTCATTAGCAATGAGTGTTAGTACCTGTTTCCCTAGACCGGGGATTGGGAAATTTTCTTCTGTAAAGAGCCAGACAGTAAATATTTTAATCTTTGTCGGACATACAGTCCCTGTTGTACCAACTCACACCTGTCATTGTAGTGAGAAAGCAATTATAGACAATATGTAAATTAACGAGGATGGCTGTGTTCCAATAAAACTTTATTTAAAAAACAGGTGGTGGGCTGAATTGGTGGGCTGAATCCTGCTCTATACAACTGATTAACATTTGACATTATTAAGCTTTTAAATGTTAGTCGGTATAAAATGTGAAAAATGGTACTCATTTTAATTTGCATTTTCTGATACTTTTGATTAAGCATATTTCTCATGTGTATTGACTATTTTGGTTTAATCTTTAGTGAATTTTCTACTCCTCACTTTTGAACAGTTTGTTCTGTATCATTTCTCTTTTTCTTTTTAATTTGTGTGAGATCTTTATATATTCTTGAAAATTTTATCTTGTCTGTTTTACATTCCTTGGGGGAAAGTGAGGGGAAAGATTAACAGTATAAATTGTTCACCGTGTAGCAGCATCCTTCCTCAAGGGAACATGCCTCCACCATTCTTTCAAGGGGATCTCGGTCTGTAAACTGGTTCCAGTCTGCAAATTTATTGAGAGATTGTGACTTTCTGTTTTGGTGACTTTGTTCACTAGACCTAGATCACTTCTGCTTAGATAAATCAAATAAGAATTTCATAATCTGTTTCAGTTTTGGGGGCTCCATGATAAATAAGCCAATGCTACAGGTCTCTGTGCATCAGACTATTCTGATAACTGATTTGGCAGCACTGTCCATTATGTTAACCATACCCACCCATTATATTAACCATGCCCACCTTTTCTTTAGTGATTAAGACCCCATTCCAAGGTGGATCCTTCCATACCTTTCTCCATGCTCACATAATCCTCTACACACAAATACTTACAAGAATGGTGGCAATGATTCATTACTGTGTTGTTAGTGAAGGTTTACACTAGCTCATATACTTTTCTGCATCTACATCTCTAAGTATGTGGAAACTGCCCAATGATTCCACTACAGTGTAGGCTTTTTTGGGGATGGCTTTGTTACCAGTGGTCAGTCTTTAGAAAAGAACATGTGTGTTCTTTGCTGAGAGGTAGAAAAGTGAGTTTTATTTATAGATTTTTGAGAGATACCCAAGGAATGGTTTTAGTGAAAGGGAGTGATAGTGTGTATTAAGGAGAATGAAGAACATGACCTGAAGAAGAAAGCTGGAAGAGAGTTGTGATGTCTTTGTAACATGTCAACATGGCTGGGCTGCACTACATGTCCAAAAACAGTTATGATTGTAATAGATTATACTACACCTAATTTAAAAATCCATTAGTCTACAGTGACAGTCAGAGAAGAAGGGGCAGGAGGGCAAGCCCTTCTTATAGAAGAATGCCTGTTAATAAACATAGAAGAATTAATATAGTGCCATTTGGAACCCATTATAATAACTGATTCAGGCAAGTATCATCAATCGATGCTAAAATTATTGGGAAAGGTAGTTGAGCAACGGAATATTCACAGCTTCAAAGTATCACCCCATAGATTGCTTATTAATTACAAAGGGGAAAAAACTACATTTAAAATGAATGAATCTTGTGGCTAATACTTTAACCTGTGATCAAACTTAACATCACTGTCATGGATTAATCTGACATTATGTATATAACAATATAATAAGAAGTACACAATATTACCTATGAAATAGTCCCCAAATTGTTTAACCTGAATCTTATGATGAAGAAACTGTCAGATAAATCTTGAATGTATGGACTCTTCAAAATGTCAATGTCATAAAAATTTTAAAAAGACAAGGAGGTGATTCTAGATTAAAAGAGACTTAAGAGACATAACAGCCATAAGCAATGCATAAAACTTGATGGGATCCTGAATCTGGAAAAAAAAGCTATAAATTACTTTTTGAGATAATTTGGAAAATTTGAATATGGACTGAATATTATGAAATAATTAATAATTTAATAATTTTATTAATATGCTAACTGTGGCTACGTAGAAGTTTTTAATTTTAGGAAATGATTACTGAAGTATTTATTATGTTTATTGTAAGATGTTATGATGTCTGCAACTTACATTCAAATGATTCAGAGAGGGAGTACAAATATGGCAATATAATAACAATTGGTGAATATAGGTGATGAACATATAGGTGTTCATTTTACCATGATTTTAATTTTTCTATGGATTGGAAAATTTTAAAACAAAATGTTGTGGATATAAAGCAAAGCAGTAAGTATTTTCATTATAAAAATCAAGAATAGCAAATAGGTACTTGTAGCTTTGTATACAAATTCGAGTGGCAGCAACATAGATCAATTTTAGAAGTGCTGCATTTCAAACAACTTACTGTAAGTGAAGATGTTTTGCTCTGGAAAATGATTAACTGATTCAATAAGGGACTCTGATACATATTGAAATATTTACAGATGTAATAATATGATATCTAAAATTTACTTCAAAATAATATAGGGGGAATGCAGTAGGTGTGGCATAGAAGAAACAAGATTGGCTAAGAGTTGATTTTTTATTGAAGCTAGTAAGTACATGGGGCTTCAACATACTATTCTCTCTACTTGCATATATGTTTAAAATGTTACATAATACACAGTTTCTTTAAAGGAGAGTTTTGGTGATGATAAAGTCACTTGTGTCAAAGATGCAGGTGAAGATTTAGATAAAATAGTTTCATAAAATAAAAAATAATCATAGTTCATTTCCAAACGTAAGCACTGCTGTAGGAATTTTGTTAATAAATCAAGTTGCTGCTTCCTCAGCAGGCTAAAATTTCTCCAATTGGACTGGAATTATTTTATAATACATCTAATGTTAAGGAATTATTTTTATGTGAACATAGTATTGAGGTTATTTTTTAAGAGGTCCTCTTTTCTAGAGATGCATATTAATATATTTATGGATAGAATGACATCTAGTCTAAATTATTTCAAAATAATTAGGATGGAGAGAGTTGAAGGGTACAGATGAAGTCACGAGTTGATAATTGTTGAAGCAGAGTGATGGATACCTGGTGTTTCATTATGCTCTATTATCCACATTTGTAAATGTTTTAAATTTTCCTTGATAAAAATATAAACAAAAATCTAAGTGCATTGATTCAAGAAAAGTTGTCTATTTTTATGTTATTTCTTGATGCTTCAAATTTTTTCTTTTATGATTTCCTTTCTATTTGAAGAACATAGCCATTTAGCTATTCTTTAAAGGAAGATCTGCTAGTGACACATTCTTTTTATTTTCTTTCGTCTGAGAATGGTTTTATTTTCCACGAACCCTGAAAGATAGTCTTGCCAAATACAGAATTCGTAGTTGATGTTTTTTTCCTTTCAGAACTTGAAAACTTCTTGCCATTTCTTTTTCACCTCCTTGGATTCAAATGTGAAACCCATACCTATTGTTATTTGAATTGGTTTCCCTTTTAGGTCATTTCTCTCTGTTTTATTTTTGATGAGGAAGATCGGCCCTGAGCTAATATCTGTTGCCAACCTTCCTCTTTTGGCTTGAGGAAGATTGTCGCTCAGCTAACATCTGTGCCAATGTTCCTCTATTTTGTATGTGGAACACCTGCCACAGCATGGCTTCATGAGCAGTGTGGAGGTCCGCACTTGGGATCCCAACTCGTGAATCCCAGGCCATTGAAGTGTAGCACACAAACTTAACCACTACACCACCACGCCAGCCCCATCTTTCTAATTGTTTTCAAGGCTTTGTCCCAGTCTTTAGTTTTAGAAGTTTAATTATGATATGTGATAAGTAAATCCTTATTTGGGATTCACTAGCTTCTTAAATTTCTAGGTTTGTCTCTTGCCAAATAAGGGAATTTTTCTTTTTTTTCCAGACATTATGTCTTCAAATACTCTTTTCAGTTCTGCTCTTTTTCTCTTTTTTTAATAATTTTATTTATTTATTTATTTTCCCTCAAGGCACCAGTAGATAGTTGTATGTCATAGCTGCACATCCTTCTAGTTGCTGTATGTGGGATGCGGCCTCAGCATGTCTGGAGAAGCGGTGCGTCGGTGTGCACCTGGGATCCGAACACAGGCCGCCAGCAGCAGAGCACGTGCACTTAACCGCTAAGCCACGGGGCGGCCCCAGTTCCGCTTTTTTTCTTTCCTCGTGGAATTCTGGATCTTCTGTCATCCCATAGGATCCTGGGGCTCTACTCAATTTTTTCCAGTTTATTTTTCTCTGTTGTCCACACTGGTTAAATTCTATTGATATGTTCTTTAGTACACTGATTCTATCCTTTGTCATCTCTATTCTATTATTGAGCCCATTCTGCAAGTTATTTATTTTTATTTCTGTTATTGTAGTTTTCAGTTCTATAATTTCTATTTGGTTCTTTTTATAATTTCCACATATTAGCTGAGATCTTCCATGTTTTCATTTTTGTTTGAAGACAATTTGTAATTGCTTGTTGAATTATTTTTATGATGGCTACTTTAAAATACTTGTGAGATAATTCCAACATCTTATTCATCTCAGGGTTGGCATCTGTAATAGAGTTCTCCAGAGAAAAGAACCAATAAGATCTCACACAGAAATATATATATATAAT